ATTTTTTTAAAAAACAATTAGTCTAGGGGCTGGCCCCATGGCTTAGCGGTTAAGTGCGCACGCTCCGTTACTGGCAGCCCGGGTTCGGATCCCGGGCACGCACAGATGCACCGCTTCTCCGGCCATGCTGAGGCCGTGTCCCACATACAACAACTAGAAGGATGTGCAACTATGACATAAAACTATCTACTGGGGCTTTGGGGAAAAAAAAGGAGGATGATTGGCAATAGATGTTAGCTCAGGGCCGGTCTTCCTCAGCAAAAAGAGGAGGATTAGCACGGATGTTAGCTCAGGGCTGATCTTCCTCACAAAAAATAAATAAATAAATAAAAACAATTAGTCTAAAAGCTAGTATTACTGTAACTTTGGTTTGTAACTCCACATTTTGTTTTCTACACAATTTAAGAGATTAATGCATTAAAAACAATTAGTAGTCTACGGTTTTAGACACACAATGCATAAAGATGTAATTTTGTGACAATAATTGAAAGGGGATGGAGACAGAACTGTATAGCAGCAGAGTTTTGTATGTTAAGCTGGTATAAATTCAAATTAGATTATTATAACTTTAAGATATTAAATGTAATCACCATAGTAACCACAAAGAAAATAGCTATAGAATATATGCAAAAGGAAATGAGAAGGGTATTAAAACATTTCACTACAAAAAAATCAACTAAATGCAAAAGAAGACAGTAATGCTGGAAAGAGGAGATCAAAAAAGCTATAAGGCATATAACAAACAGCGAAATGACAGTTTCTTCTTATCAGTAATTACCTTAAACATTAATGGATTAAACTCTCCAATCAAAAAACCAGAGATTGGCAGATGGATAAAAAACATGATCCAACTGTACGCTATCTACAAGCAACACATTTTAGATCCAACTATACAAATAGATTGAAAGTGAAAAGAAGGAAAAAAATATTCAATGCAAATACTAACTAAAAGAGAGCAGGAGTTGCTCTAGTAATATTAAACAAAATAGACTTTAAATAAAAAAAGTTTACAAGAGACAAAGAAGAATATTATATATTAGTAAAAGGTTCAATACAGCAAGAAGATATAATAGTTATAAACATTTACCCACCTAATAACAAACCCTCAAAATATATGAAGCAAAAATGGACAGAATTAAAACAATAAAAGTTGGAGACTCCAATACCCTACTCTCAGTGATGGATAGAATGACCAGACGGAAAATTAGTAGGGGAATAGAGGACTTGAACAACACGATAAAACAACCAGATCTAACAAACATATATGAACACTCTACCCAACAACACCAGAATACACATTCTTCTCAAGCACACATGGGACATTCCCCAGGATAGACCTTACATATTAGGCCATAAATCAGGTCTCAATAAATTTTAAAAGACAAATATCATACAAAGTGTCTTCTCCAAACACAATGGGATGAAGTTAGAAATCAATAATGGAAGGAAAACTGGAAAATTCACAAATTTGTAGAAATTAACACACTCTTAAACATGAATGGGTCAACGTATCAGTCAGCTTGGGCTGCCATAACAAAATACCACAGACTGAGTAATTTAAAGAGCAGATATTTATTTCTCCTGTTCTCGAGTCTGGGAAATCCAAAATCAAGGTGCCAGCCAATTCAGCTCCTGGTGAAGACCCACTTCCTGGCTTTCAGATGACCACCTTCTCAGGGAGTCCTCACATGGCAGAGAGAGAAAGTTCTGGTCTCTCTTCTTATAAGGACACAAATCCCAACACCGGGGCCCCCACCCTCATGACCTCATCTAAACCTACTTGCCTCCCAAAGGTCCCACCTCCAACTACCATCACATTGGGGGTTAGGGCTTCAACATGTGAATTTAGGGGGGGACACAAACATTCAATCCATAACATATTGCCCCTGCACCCCCCAAAATCATGAATATATGCAAACTATATTCATTCCATCCCAATAGCCCCCCAAATCTCAAATCATTCCAGTATCAACTCTAAAATCTAAAGTCTAAAGTCTCATCTAAATAGTACCTAAATCAGGTAGGAGTGAGACTCGAGGTATGATTCATCCTGAGGCAAAACTCCCTCCAGCTGTGAACCTGTGAAACCAGAAAAGTATGTGCTTCAAAATACAGTCATGGGACAGGCATAGGATACACATTCCCATTCCAAAAGGGAGAGACTGGAAGAAAGGGGTGATAGTCCCAAGCAAGTCCAAAACCTAGTAAGGCAAATATCATTAGATCTTAAGGCTGGAGAATAATTTTCTTTGGTTCAGTGCTCTGCCCCTCTGGACCCATTGAGGCAGTAGTCCTGCCTTCAGGTCTCAGTGGAGTGGCAATCTAAACCTTGTAATTCTGCTAGGTGGGGCGTTGCCTCACGCCTCAGGGTGGCCCCACCCCCAAGGCTCCAGGTGGCCACGGTCTGGCTTGTTGAAACCAAAGCAATGCCCCGTCCCCCTTTTGAAACTAAGGAGGCCCCCCGATGATATCTAAATTGGCTTCAGGATCATTATTCCCTTGTCTTGAAAAATAGCACATATTCACAGCCAAATAGCTCTATGACCCAGTCCTATAGGATCTAAGTCCAACAGCTTTCCTTCATTTGGTCTCAGCTCCATGCCCTTCGGTTCAAATTGGAAGTGTTTCTTAGGAGGTGGCTGATTAGATTGTGGTTCACACCCATACTAATCTCCTTATCAAAGGGTTGTTAGGCCATAATCTTAGTATTCTCTTCAGAACAAGCTTACTCATTTTTTGCAATATGGACAGGTTGAGAATTTTCCAAATCTTTAAGTTCTGGTTCTTTTTTGCTTAACAATTGCTTCTCCAATTCATTTCTCCCTTTTCACATTTTACTATAAGCAGTTAGGAGGCACCAAGCGTCTCCTTCAATATTTTGCTTAGAAATTTCCTCAACTAAACATGCAGTTTCATCTCTCACCAGTTCTACCTTCCATAAGACACTAGAACATGAACACAATTCAGCCAAGTTCTTTGCCACTTTATGAAAAGTATTAGCTTTTCTCCATTGTCTAATAACATGTGTCTCATTCTCTTTGAGACCTCACCAGAATGGCCTTTATAGTTCATATTTCTACCAACATTCTCTTCACAATTATTTACGTATTCTCTAAGACGACGAAAGCTTTCTCTGTAGCACTCCCCTTTTCTTTCTAAGCCTTCATCTGAATCACCTTTAACTGTCCCTTCACGGTGATCGTGGCCTTTTCTAGCATGCACCTCAAAACTCTTCCAGCCTCTACTCATTACCTAGTTCCAATGCCACACTCACATTTTTAGACATTTGTTACAGCAGCACCCCACCTCACAGTACTAAAATTCTGTCTCAGTCAGCTCAGTCTGCTCTAATAAAACACCGTAGCCTGGGTGGCTAAACAACACATATTCATTTCTCACAATTTTATAGACTGGAAGTCTGAGATCAGCGTGCTGACATGGTGGGGTTCTGACGAGAGCTCTCTTCCTGGCTTGCAGACAGCCACCTCCTTGCTCTGTGCTCACATGGCCTTTCCTCAATACATGCACAAGAACCACCAGACAGAAGATAAATAAGGAAATAGAGGACTTGAGCAACACAAGAAACCATCTAGATCAAACACATAAGAACACTCTACCCAACAACAACAGAACACACATTCTGCTGAGAGATCTTTCTCACTCTTCCTCTTTGTGTAAGGGCACTAATTCCATCATGAGGACCCTACCCTCACGATCTAATCTAAAACCTAATCTTCTCCCAAAGGTCTGACCTCCAAATACCGTCATATTGGGGGTTAGAGTGTCAACATATCAATTAGGGGAGGAGACAAGCTTTCAGTCTATAGCAGGTATCATGTTGATTTTATTATCATTCATTTGCTTACCTATGAGTTTATTATCTTCAATTTCATAGGTTTATTAAGCAGTTATAGTTTTTCTTGGATGAATAACCACTTTATGTCCTTTGCCCATTTTCCTACTGAGGTGTCCATTTTTAACATTCTGATTTATAAGAGCTCTTTATATTGTAAGGAGTCTAACATTTTGTTATATATGGAGTAAAATTTTACAGTTTGTTTTTCTTTTGAAATTTGTTTCTTAACAGTAATATTACTATATAAATTATTGATTGTAATGTTTAATTTCTATTAATAAAGAGCTTTAAAATTTTTTAAATATAATTGTTTTTCTCTTTTCTTTCTTTATGATTCCTGCTTTAGTGTCATTCATAGAAATTCTTGAACAACTTCAGCATCGTAGGAATTTAGCAAGAGACATTAGTAATAACAATAGTAAAATTACTAATAATCACTACCACTTATTATTTACTATATATCAGACACTCTACATACATTATTCTATTAAATCCTCACAACAAACCTATGAACTAATTACTATTCCCATTCTACAGATCAGGAAACTGAGGCTAAAGAAGACAAAGTAACTTGCCCATAGTCATGTGACTTGCAGGTGTTGGAGGTGAGATTCAGTCATTTTGCCATGTACAAACTCAGGATTTTGTAAACAGATGAGTAGACGTGGGTCCACATTGTCGCTCTGCTGTGCTGGCTGCTAGGTGTGTTACCTTGTGCACCTCTTCTCATTCCTCTGAGTCTTAATGTCACCTGCAAAATTTGTTTAACAATAACTCCCTCATAGAGTTGCTGAGGGATTTAAATGAGAAAAAAATGCGTAATGCGCCTGGCACGGAGAGAGAGTCGCTATAAAAGAGTTAGTCACCCCACCTCTTTGCTGGAGCACCCTAACTCTTTCCCTCCTCTCTCTTTGTAGAGGGGTGGGGGCGGAGGGGCAGGTGAGAGAAAGGGGGAACCAATGCCTGTAGTGAGATGCAGAGGTTGAGATCCCAGGCCTAGCAGATCTAAGTGAGGAGCAGAGTGAGGTGAAGTGCCACATCTCTGAAGAGATCCCACCCAGGGAGTGACTCACATTTCCGACAGGGTGATACTCCTCCCTGTGTGGGAGGCAGGGGTGGAGCTGAATCAAGAACATCTCTCCACTGCTCAGAAGCAGCCACTCTTGCTTGTGAGGAGAGCCCTGAGAGGTCGCTGCTCATCTGCCAGCTGTCGCCCTGTTGGCCTCGACACACACACCGGGACCATGGGTACCCTCGCGGGACACCTGCTGCCAGGGATGTTCTTCCTCCTCTTCTCACTCTACTACTCAGTGCTGACGTCCTTGGCCCTGCTACGGGGACAGAGGTTCCTCAAACCCCCTCTACCTCCAAGGGAGAAGCGAGGACACAGGTGGTGGCAGCTGGTACCTGTGGAAGGGGTGGTGAAGGTGGTCGTCACCCTGCTCGGCATCATCCCCGAGTTCTTCTACCCCCCAGGAGTGAACCGGTTGACGATGGTAGACTGGGAGGACCCTCAGCGGCCGTTCTTATTCAAGGACAACTGGCAACATGTCACCATGTACGGGTTCTTCCTGCTCAGTGGCGTGGTGGACATCGTGAGCCAGTCGTGTCGGGCACGGCAGAATATGAAGCTGGAGCGAGCAGCCGAGGCCCTGGCCTTCTGTGTGCTGGCGCTGCTGATGGCGTCCCACATTGAGAACAAGGGCACCCTGGAGATCCGCGTGCACCTCCTGTTCATAGTGCCCACCTTCCTGGTCGGCCTGGTGCTCACCATCGAGGTCTGGGTCCCTGACCAGCCTCCACTCTGGGTGCTCAAGACCTGGATGGGGCTGGTGCTCAGCAACTGGATGCTGCAGCTCTGTGTGCTAATGTACGCTCCTCCCTCCGGGCAGCCCTGGAAAGGAGAAAACCCCATAGATCTCGCCTTCCTCACTGTCTTCTTTTGCTGGCATCTGGGCATAGGAGCCGCCGTGCTGGCTGCTGTCTATGGCCTCTGCAGCCTGTGGCACCATCACTGGTCCTCCTGGAGAGAGGCCCCAGGCACCAAATACCAGCCGTGCCCCACGGGCTACAGCAGCGAAGAGCTTGAGAAGCTCAGAGAAGGGGTCGTGCTGCAGGATGGGGGTGTCTAGGTTTGGAAGCTGTCTTTGTGCTATGCTTTTTGCAATGAGAGTTTTGAAGATGCCCACTGTGTGCATAGCATGGAAATGCCCTGGGATCTACAAAGTGGCTTTCCATCACAGGAGTCATATTTCTTGTTCCTAAATAAACCTTCCAACTCCTAGGATTACTTCTAATTATCACTCACTTCTCTCCAGGTCTGTCTCTGTCCTGTCGCACTATTCGGTCTGTATGGTTCCTGGCAACGGACCTACATGAAGTGAGAATAAGGCGTAACGCTTTTCTCTGACAGCTTTTGGGATCCAAGAGGAGGAAATGAAATGAGGAAAGAGAGAGAGATGGAGAGTCGCTGGGGACTCAGGGCGAGTTCTAGCTGTCTGAGGCAGGGCTGGCTTAGTGTGTGTATGTGTGTGCCCAGAGCTGAAGTGTTTAAATGTGTGAAAGAGAGAGGGTCCGTTTTTGCATAATGGTGAGGGCTTCTGTTTTCTTTATTTCTCTCTTTTTTTATTCACAGTAAGTGTAGCAGGATGAAGAGCTGGTTTTGTTGTTATTGCTGTTTTTCAATCTAAACTGAATGAGGCTACTTCTGCCTTCTAAGGGAGTAAGGGATGAGGGGAAAAGGGTGGCAATGGGTTCAGCAGGGGCTCAAATCTGGGGAGAAAAGAGGCAAGGGAGGAATTCCCAATGGTGGTTGGAAGAAATGAGATGATAAATATAATTTTAAGTTGTTTGTTTTCTACTGTGATATAAAACAACTTCATCATTACAACTCTTTCAGTAAAATCTATGATACACGCATATATGTGTCTCGTGTGAGTGATTCTGGGGCAAGATCAAAGGAAAGGCCCAGATCAGAGGGAAAGAACTGCCAATGAAGTGTGGGGTCCAATGAGCTCAGTGGTTCTGAAGATGCAGGAACTCAGAGCTGGTAGAAAACCTGAGAATGTCAGCCCCCTGGAATTTGCAGAAATTTTCAGCCTCTCATTGAGCTTCTCCCAGAGTGAGGCGAGGAGGTGTTTGTTAGTAGATTCATATACTCAGTGAAATAGATGAAGGCAAACTATACAAAAATACTTCTCCCTGGGGACAATTAGAAAGCCACTGCTTCTAATAGCATGAGTCTGCTTATGTGAGATGGATAAACCCAGCACTTGGAGGTCTGAAGAGGCAGGAAGAAGGGAGGAGATGCTGGCCATAGATGTGGAGAAAGGACCATAGAGAAAAGCGGCCACTCAGAAAGCAGCTGCAATTACGCCACTCCCCATGCTGTCCTCAGAGACTAAAAAGCTTTAAGCATAGAGAGGCACTTGCACGTGCAGGATGGAAGACAAGACAGGCTGCACAGTGTCATCTGAAATATCACTGGACACTCCCTAAAGAAACAGTGTGCAAGAGCATGGAAAACAGGCGCTGGCAAACTCTGGGACAAAGGGTGAAGGCAGAGAAGGGGAGCAAGGGAAGGGATGGAAGTGGGGCAAGGCTCTGGCAACTCACACCAGTAGGGCTTGGAGGGTGAGAACATTCTGGATCGACAGGAAGAGAAATGTGTCTTCCTCCAGCAGCTGGAACCAGGCCAGCCCCAGCTTTCCTCCTCAACGAAGCAGGAACCAACCTAAGGAGAGGCCAGCACCTTTCCTTCTGTCCCCACCCTAAAAACCCCAGAAGCAGAGCCAGATTTACTCCCAAGTTAATAAAGCTTAAGTTTCAGGGCCCCTCACTTTACATGTCCCATCCAAAGCCCTGGGAGGGGCCGCAGCAAGGTGTTTATAAGATCACATATCACTGAAAAATTGCAAAAGTAAGACATTTCTATATTCTTTTTTCTAAAGAAGGCCCTCCAAATTGTATAAATTTTAAACTCCACCAAACCTGGCTGTGCCCCAACCCTGAAGGCTTAACACAGATTTACTTTCAGGATGCCTTATGATAAACACATCTCTTAGCCTGTTAGTGGAACATTCTTTATCCGAGGATAATGTTTAAGACTCTTCCTTTTTCAACTTGGAAACAAGCAGCTTAAAATGCTAATGACATCACACACTGGTTGAAAACCACCTGCGAAAGCATAATCCCTCAGTCAACAAACACAAATGAGTGTTATCAGATGCTGGGCCTATTTAATAAGGAGGAATTAGGGGGACAGAAGACTGATGGCCAGGGTGAGAGATAGGAAGTAATTTACAGAGGTGGCTCCTGTTTATCTTCATTTGTGCCGCGTGGGGAAATTTTTGTCCTGCACATCTGGCCCTTGCCAGTGTATTAGTCAGGGTTTTCCAGAGAAAGAGAACCAATTGACATGTAGAAATTTTAAGGAATTGGCTCATGAGATTGTGAGGGCTGGCAAGTCCAAAATGTGGAGCAGGCCAGCAGGCTGGAGACCCAGGGAATAGTCGGTGTTGCCATCTTGAGTCTGAAGGCAGTCTAGAGGCAGAATTCCGTCTTCTTCAGGGCACCTCAGTCTTTTCTTTTACGACCTTCAGCTGATTGAATGAGGCCCACCCATATTATGGAGGGTAATCTGCTTACTCAAAGTCTACTGATTTAAATGTTAATCACATCTAAAAAACACCTTCACAGCAACATCTAGACTGGTGTTTGACCAAACAACGGGGTACCACGGCCTAGCTGAGTTGACACATAAAATTAACCATCATACTCAGCATATTGGAACATGGCCACTCAAATATGATTTATGTCAACTGTATTTGCCATGATTTTTTGAGATCTTCCAAAATAATAATAGTGACTTCATTTTAAATGAACTTCATCATTATAGGTTCTGATTGCAGCATGACGGTGACTATATAATGCTATATGGACTTCCTCCCTTTCCTGTTCCCTCTAGAAGGAGAGAGAGAAAGTGACAGGTGTGAAGGTGGGTGACACTTATTTTTAAAGATTAAAAAATAATATTTAGAGGGTTTTTTTTTTGATTATTCATGTTGTACATCTTAGAAAATACCAAAGAGTATTTTAAAGTATTTTGAAATCTATCATAATGCCCTTACCCAGAATTAATTACTGCCTTGGAGAGCTGAAAGGGTAGGAAGGTATTTCAATCACAGAGTGGATAACAGGGTTTATATATTAGAGATAAGGCCTTTCCTGGTGATGATGATTGATGTGCCTGATGACTAAGGCATGGATGACTGAAAAGGTTTGGAGGTGAAAGTCAGTGAAAATGAAGAAATCCAGAACTCAGAGTCTTGCATTGTGAGAGGGAACTGAGCAGGGATACTGACATGCCCAGAAAGATGGCAACCTCGGGCTGGAGGAGAACCCCAGAGCCCCAGTCCTCAGTAAATTTTGGGGGGGGACCTAAAGCATCAAGGAGGTCCAGAAGACAGAAAATGTGGCTAGCATGTGCTTCGAAGGAGAAAGTGATTAGGGTTAAGCAGAAATGGCAATGCCGACCCCACAGAGGTATTGTGAGAAATAAATGAGGTACTGCATATACAACACTTAATACAGAGCATGGTGTACCATAGACGTTCAATAAATACTAGTTTGAGATCCAGCCGTGATGGCCTAGCAGTTAATGTTCTGCACGCTCCACTTCAGCAGCCTGAGTTCAGTTCCGGGGCACGGAACCACACCACTCGTCTATTAGTAGTCATGCTGTGGCGGCAGCTCACACAGGAGAACCAGAAGAACCTACAACTATACACAACTACGTACTAGGGCTTTGGAGGGGAAAGGAAGAAAAAAGGAAGATGATTGGCAACAGATGTTAGCTTAGGGCAAATCTTCCCCTGCAATTAAATAAATAAATAAATAAATATTAGTTTGAGAGACTGAATATACAAATGGGCAATAGCCAGACCACATATAAAAATAAAACTGGCTGACATCTGCAGCAACTAGCCCAGGAAACCAACTCATTATCTACAGTAACCAGCCCAGGAAGCCAGCTTACTATCTATAAGTCAGACTTGTAGCAAGTCAGTTAGCTGTCTCTAGTAATCAGTCGAGGAAGCCAAACAATAACCCCTGTAACAATAGACCCAAAGTGGGAAGGACTTGATGAATAACTAACAGCTTCCCTAATTTTTGCCCCACTTCCAACTCAGGGCCAACCAGAGAAAGCTAAATATGCACCCCTAACCAACCACATAGGATGCCTGCCTACAGCTTCTCCATGCCAACAGCCTCCAATCAAAGCATACTGAAGCCTTCCCTCTTTTTCACTATGAAGCTTCCCCACTTCTCTGCCTGCCTTTGAGTCTCTGCCAAAAAGCAAATGATGGTGACTGACTCCCTTGCTATAGCAAGCACTGAAAAGATAGGCTTTTTCTCTTTTGGCTGGTCTTCATTTATTCTCACATGTTCAATTCTTTCATTTATTCATTCAAGCAGTTACTCAATATCTATTAAGCATCTACTATATGCCAGACCCCATGCTAGGTTCTGAGAATAATGAAGTGGCCCAGAAGCCAGGGTCCCTGCCTTCAAGCTGATTACGGTTCAGCAGGAGAAGAAAGGTAAAGAAACAGTAAGCTACATGCAATCTGAAGGGCCTGTGATGAGGGGCAGCTAAGCCAGACTTGGAGATCAGGGAAAGCTTCTAGAAAAGTGATGTCCCCACAGGGACGTGAAGGGTGAGTATGGCCAGGGGAGGAGGGGTGGGGGAAACATTCAGGAGAGAGGGAAAGGACCAAGGGAAAGTCTCCAGGTCATAGCATAAACGCTGAAAGAAGTGACTGAAAGTGGGAGGTTAGACCTCAGTGTTTGAGCCTGGAGTGGCAAGCCACGAAGGTGGAAAGGCAGACAAGGGTCAGCGTCCTTCTAGGCCACATGAAGAAATTTGGTGTTTATCCTGAAACCAACGGTAATGATCAAATTTCCATTTTGGAAACATCACTCAGGCTCCATGTGGAGTGAGGCCTGGAGCAGGGCAAACCTGGAAGCAGGAAGACCAGTTAGGAGACAAACAGGTGGTGGCGGCTGCAGAGGAAGAAAAGTGCATGGACTGGAGAGCTGATGGAGATGGCTCCTGACGGGACATCATGGCTGGAGTTGGTAGGGTGAGAGAGAGGGGAAGAAGCCAAAGCTCGGACAGCTGAGGAGGAAGGTAAACGCCATCACTGAGAAAATGAAAACCAGGACAGGGAGCTGGAGGAGAAGAGATGAATTCTGGTTGGAGACATGAAGTTTAAGGTGTTGTTCTGAAAGTAGATGG